ATACCACACATTGCTTGCAGTCTTTAAGGAATTACAAGACACTCCCTTAATAATAATGCAGGCGTGCCTAAATTACTCAGCAGAAGACGGGATTGTGTTGTGTACTTATGTGACATTCTTATTTTTCTTTGTAGATAGGCTGCAAATTCAGGCAAAAAGTATTGGTTTCGACTTTGACTTTGTCCCAGGACCTGGATTTTGCGTGTACATCCATTTTACTGGCTTATTTGTGTGCAGCTTGTTGTTCCTTGCCGCTCGGGCAGAAGCATTCCGACTTCGAAGGAAGCTCCCAGTTAGTCAACTCCTACGACATGCTTGTTGGAGACTCTGTGGGTTTATTCTTGTCCCCCTCCCCATCACCCCTACAACGGGGCCCTAGAACCCATTCGGAACATGTGATATTCAAGGCTTGAGATTCTAACTGCCAGCAAGAAAAAACTTCTTCTTCCTCTTCTCTTCCCCCTGGTACCTCACTGAAGTGTCGGAAAGGGGGGGGGGGGGGAGAGATGTAATGTACGTTGATGATCTCTGTCAAGAGCACCAGTAAGACTGATGTTCATTTCTGTAAGGCTGTTCTTAATGCCATCACTCCATCTGTTCAGAGGTCTTCCACTCGCTCTATACCCGTTGTAACATTTTAGTGTGGCTCGCTGTGGCATATAGTACCAGGACATTTTTGTTAGGTGTCCAAACCACTTCATTGTTGTTCTTTGATGACCTGTAAGACTGTCTTTATTCCTAGATTTCGTCTGATTTCGTGATTTCGTATTCTGTCTTTCCTTGAAACTCCTGCAGCTCTTCTTAGGCATTTCATCGCTGTTGTCACAATTTTACTTTCATTGGACGATGAAAGTGTCCACGTTTGGCATTGATAGCATAGTGTTGGTCAAAATAATAGTTGGTAAGGAAACACAAAGATATAAAATGCAGGAAAAGCGCCGTCACCCTAGCAGAGCCCACCTGCAAGGAAAGTAGCCGGGAATGTCCAAAAGGTGTCCATACGCCCTGTGCCATCCCACCCGTTTCTAGACGTCCAGCGCAGTTTACCCGTGACCATTAATTTCCCTGAGCACTTCGGTCCACTTTTAACTCGCAGAGAAGGGTGGGAGCGTGGGGGGGGGGTTTGGGGTGAGACTCGTCTCGCCCTCTATGCCCACCGCCAGTTGGTCCATGACTGCTCATTTGTTATTAGGCAGCTAACCCCCATACCTGCAGGATACTGGGGCCGTCCCAGGACCCGATCCCGTGGACGCCCTGGGTCAGGGACTGTCGCCCCAGCTTGTCACAGAACCAGCCATGGAGAATTCTAAAAGGCAAGAAGTCTTTTAATTAGCAATAGAAAGACACACACAGACAAAAAATTCTAAATAGCACGAAACTTTAAAACTAAAATGAAATAAAGCTGAAACATTAAGAACTACTGAAAGATATAATCTCTAATGTAGAGCTTTGACAGAGAGATGAAAGCAAATTCTGGTGATTAAAGAGGTGAATGGGAGGAATCGCTATTTTTGCAAAGGACACTTGTTGGAATACATGATAACATTATAACTAAAAAAAAAAACAATAAGGAAAACAAAAGGAGAAGAAAACAATGCACACACACACACACACACACACACACACACACACACACACACACGGAGTATGGAGAGGTGCAGTTAACCAGAGAGAACCTATGTGAACTGCATGAGATAGCAAAAGATCGACTGACTTAGCATGAATTGGCTGAGAAGGCGACAGTCATCATTTTTCGGCCATGTTATGGGAAGAGGGAAAATAAAACATGTGGTGACCACTGAAAACATCTGTGGAAGGAGGGATAGAGAATGACAACGAGAGAAGATTCTTGGAAGTCTTGTTGCATGGCATGGAGGTGTGTCGGCACACGAATTGATACACGCTGCAGGAGATCGCATTTTGTGGAGAGGCATGATCGCCCACGACAGTCGACAAGGGACCTGATAATGATGTTTAAAATTTTCTTCCTCTGAATTACGGAGAGGGGGGAGGAGGGTGTTATTATAAAACTTCCTGCGGCTCTCATGTTTCCTTTGGTGGATTTTTGGCAAGCTTCGTTTCAAAGGGGATGGCACTAAAATGTCTATGAAAGTCTCTATAAAGCAATGCTCCTGCAAAAAATACGATCTCATTGCAGCATAACGTGGCATAACTAGATGCCAGTCAAAAAATGTCTTCCCCTTTTTGGGAGAGTTTAGGAGCACCTGAAAACAACGTAAATGTTCTCTGTCTATCTTCTTGTACCCCACCAGGATATCACACGAGCGATAAACACCCAATGACACAAAGTGCCACCATGTGGATGAGGATCACCCGTGGAGAGGTCCCGGAAACCGCGTTTAGCCATTAGACCATATTTATGGCTGGGCTTTATTGCGGCCCCTGAAGGGAGCCAGGGTGGGGCTTTAAAATAAAGAAAAACCGCATCCCACAAAGGATCGAATCCCTGGATTTCTCGAATATTTGTCAAAAAAAAAAAAAAAGCTCCTCTGAAAAGTGAACATGTTAAAACCCCATGGCAGTCGGATCTCCAGGCGATTAGGCTATAAATATTCTACTCTGGGAAAATCTCTAGAAAAATGAATCTGCTGAAGGTAAGAAACAACTTATATTGCTTAGCAAAAATCTGTGAAGATAAAGAAATCATGCATAAATGCATTTCAAGAGACCAACTTTTTGCTTCAATTGTGTGCAGTTTTAAGGGGAAACTACCGCATTATATATTCATTTTGTTTGTAAATGTCTTGTGGAATGCAATTTTTCGTTATTTGAAGCCTCATTCTGGCTTTTGCCAGGGGCCCTGAATATAGCCGGGCCATAAATATGGCCTAACGGCTAAAGGGAGTTTCTGGGACCTCTGGACTTTTCTGGTGATCCTCAACTGCATGGTGGCACTTTGTGTCACCAGGTGTTTATGTCGCTTATATGATGTCCTGGTGGGGTACAACTTACACACATATATATAAACTACGTGTTCCTAGAAACTGTCAACGTAAGACAAAGAATTGGCTCATAAACAAAAAGGAGGTGCCAAAAGGAGGTGTTTTTTAGCCATGTAAACGGCAAGGTGACCTCACGACTAGCTCCAGAGTAGGCCGTGGGTGACCTGTAGAGAACTGTAGTGTGTGTGTGTGTGTGTGTGGGGGGGGGGGGGGTACAGATTCCAGAAAACAAGGCACAGATCTCTGCAAATGTGGATACAAGACATTGAAAATGCATTGCCTATGAAAACACATAGGGCTGGACAATTGGCTAGAGAAAGACACTCTTAGGTATCCCATTACAAGAGCGACGTTCTGTAAAGGACTTGCTGATTGATGATGACATGCAGTGTCCATAATAAAGACTGACTATAGTGTACCCATGTACGTCTTTTGGAATATTCCCTAGTGAGGCCTCAATATTTTCCATGGTGCTGCTCTCATCAACTGAAAACTTTGACAGCGACTTTGGTTGTTAATTAAAAGAATCCTCTGCAGGAATCGAACCCTGGTCCTCGAGGATCATGACACTGTTGATAGATAGGCCTATATAACCTAGCGCTTAAAAAAAGGCATCTTCTTCTTCGTCTTCTTTCGTTCCCCTGAAATAGGTTATCTATATCTGCACTGTTGTCTTTAGTATTATTTTCACTGTCGTTTGTAAGTTACTCCGCTATTTGTAAAGTTGGGCTTGCAGTGGTGTTTCTCTAGGCCACAAGTTTTGCCTTGATATGTTGTATTTGGGAGAGTCTTGGGGGACATGATCTGTTGTCTCAGGTGCCAATCCACATGTGCACATGTCTGATTCACCAATCTTCAGTTCTGTGTACATGTGGCTGCAAAGTCGACCCTGCCTTGTTCTGATGTGTAGAATAATGAGGAACCAATCGAAAAGTCAACAATTGTAAATGGTTTATTAACAAAGTTAAAACAATCATGGGAGGCCTGATCAAATAAAAACAGTCACAATGGCTTTTTAATAAACATATGTAGGGTACATTAACTAATGTGGCAGAATTTAAAAAAGCAGTAGTAATCACAGTATGCATTTAGACAAATATCTCTGGAAAATGAGAGGGCAGATAGACAGGCTGGCTCGGCACCACTTGGTGGTGAATTGATGTATGACAAGTTAGATATTGTGAGGGCCCTTTGGGAGTGGGTGAACAGTGCGGAGGTGCCGACAGATCATTACGGTCTTAGGAGAATGGCGCTGCGAGGAGTTACCAGGGAATCTGCCGACGCTCAACACTCAAGGACAGGATGAGACGGATATCCAATCAGGCGGTTAATGGTACCATCGGAATTGGAACTCTTCGTTTACTGCTTAAGATAGGGACTGAGCACTTATGGGAGTGTCTAGAGTGCTGTGATGTTGATTCTTAATTCAACATTCATTCAACATTCAACACACAAATATCTTCTTCTACTTCTTCTTATTATTCTTATTGTGTGATACCGTCCATTAAGAAGCACTTTGCCTACTGTCCCATGTGATTTTATGACGTCTTTATGAATGTGGAATCACTGTCCCTTGAGAGCAGCTTTACTTTAATGGTCCAAGCAAATGAACGTCACCTGGATACAAACCAGGACCATAAACTGGGTGTGTCAGAACTTGCCACCTTCTCTATGCCAACATTTCCTGCACAAGCAGTCTTTCGTGGACATTATCCGTCATCACCTTGAGTAGTTGGATGCCTGTCTGAATGCCATCGAGGATGTCTTCTAATGACTTGAAGTGCACACTTGTTTCCTGTTAGTTTTTAAATGACCCGAAGTACACACTTGTTTCCTATTAGTTTTATTAAATACTGTCAAACTTGTAAATATACCATTCATACGTTTTTACTAAAGAAATTGAGATGGGTTTCAACTGAGCATGCCTCATTCTTTACACAAAACATTTTAAAAATATGAGCACTACTTAAAGCTAGGCTTTGTACATAAGAATTTGAAAAAATTCTTCTTTTGGCAGTGAATTTCAGATAATCTGCTCTAGCTGTGTGTCATTTCTGGAATAACTAAAACAGCACCAATGAACATTGCAAAAAGATGGAAAAAAAATGTTTTCAATGTATATGAAAAACACGATTCTGAACCATTTCCTTCCTGCTCTAGACTAGTTCCTTCTGTTCGTCTAGCAGATTGATACAAATATCCTGTTTCATTGACGTACACTTTCCACACCCTCATGTACGCATCATTGCCATCTTGTGGAAGTCCCTTAGCCTCCCTGAACACTTGCAAGCGGTTAGAGACAAACCAGATCCAACCGCGCGTGTCGAAACCAAATGTGTCGGGCCATTGCATTGTACTATCATTCCGTACAAGAAGTTTTTCTGTTGCTAAAGTTACTTTGTCCATTCCAACATTTTGATCAGCCATATCTTTATCTGAATCCCAGTAGTACACTGCGTTCAAACCTAGAGCCCCATAATATAGGAATTTGCTTCCGTAGCCAATTCCCCCACTCTGGGACACTTTAGATCCAATCAAACGAATTCCATCAGTCTTGCCTGTCCGGAGACTAGATGTGGGAATCTGATATAAATTGAACCCTGCAAGAGAACAGTAATAGAGATATTTAAAATCTGGAGACATGGCGAGACCATCCAAGGCTACCGAAATAGTATACGTTATGTTATTGATAGTAACCATTTCTGCATGTTTACTTTCTATTCCCATTGATTCATGCTGTATTTTCCATGATTTGCCTGTTGTCAAGTCAACAACAATCAAGTGAGCATCATTGGCATCACTAATGTAGGCGAATCGCGCCTTGCCACCAACATAATCCAACACAATGTCATTCATGAAGTTACTCGTGTAACTCGCCACAATTGTAGGCAGTTCATACTTTTTGTGCTGTGAATTTGTATTGAGATCAAAGACTACAAGTTTGGCTGGGCAAAGATTCAGTTTATCCCCTACTCGACCAGTATCAATGACATACATTAAGCCTGTATTAGGATCAATCTCCATGCCTTGAACGTACTGCAGGGCATTACAATCCCCTTGTATCTGGGCAGCCCATGTTGGGTAAGCACTCAGTTTCTCTTCGCCTCTGACAGTGACCACTTTGGCCAGTGTGACAGGGTGACCAGAAGTCCAAAACCACCGGGGAATTGTCACAAAGACGGAATCTTTATAAACCTGAAATTAGAGATAATCGAATTAGTCAGTAATTTAAAGACAAGCTTACAGAATCAAACAAATGTAAATTATTTTAAAAACTATTATAATGTCTAACTAAATCAGCTTCAAACAATCCAGAACAAATTGTATTCTTGTCTAACTAATTCAGCTTCAAACATTACAAGACAAATTGTACTCTTGTCTTACTAATTCAGCTTCAAACAATACAGGATAAATTGTATTCGTGTCTTAACTAATTCAGCTTCAAACAATGCAGGACAAATTGTATTCTTGTCTAACTAATTCAGCTTCAAACAATACAGGACAAATTGTTTTCGTGTCTAACTAATTCGGCTTCTAACAATACAAGACAAATTGTATTCTTGTCTTAACTAATTCGGCTCCAAACAATACAGGACAAACTGTATTCGTGTCTTAACTGATTCAGCTTCAAACAATGCAGGACAAATTGAATTCTTGTCTAACTAATTCGGCTTCAAACAATACAGGACAAATTGTATTCTCCTTCTGTGGTTGCCCTTAAATAAAAAAGGCAGATGGCATGTTGTTTGTGGTTGACTGCAATATCTGTCCCTATTGTATGCCCAACACAAAGTTTTCAGCAAACTAGTAATTATAACCTTTTACAACGCTCTTATAAGAGGGCAAAGGGTCTATTCTTTTTTCAAGCCAAACAAGACCCCAGAACCTACAATAAGAATATATGGAGACAGGTGCTATTTCTTCGTGAACACCATCCAGAATATAGTTTTATATTTTTTACAGTTGGCCAAGGTACACTAATAAAATCTGGTCACTTCAATGGTCGTAAGCATCGTTAATTTCTTTCAACTCTTTCGGTACCAGATCATATTTATTTGACTCTTTCAAACCCAGTACATTCTATTTTAAATCTGTCAATTTTTTAGTTCAAAGGTGTCAACATAACACAAGATGTGATTAAAAAACTTAAACTAACAATTAAGACAGGTTGAGTTAATTTATGACCCTCCATGACAGAAAAAAAATCATTAACATTTGCTCTCACTGGGCTACAAAATGAATGTGTGATAACTATGATGGTACAGTACAGAATGAGTAAATTAATTGTGAACCATCTCCACAATATATGTTTAGCTGTGGTATATATTCTTCTCAGAAACAACAGCCAGTAGGAGTTAACTATGATTCCATGATTTCTGTGCATTCTTCTCAGAAACCACAGCCAGTATTCCATGATTTCTGTGCATTCTTCTCATAAACCACAGTCAGTATTCCATGATTTCTGTGCATTCTTCTCAGAAACCACTGCCAGTAGATGTTTAATATGATTCCATGATTTCTGTGCATTCTTCTCAGAAACCACTGCCAGTAGATGTTTAATATGATTCCATGATTTCTGTGCATTCTTCTCAGAAACCACTGCCAGTAGATGTTTAATATGATTCCATGATTTCTGTGCATTCTTCTCAGAAACCACTGCCAGTAGATGTTTAATATGATTCCATGATTTCTGTGCATTCTTTTCAGAAACCACTGCCAGTAGATGTTTAATATGATTCCATGATTTCTGTGCATTCTTCTCAGAAACCACTGCCAGTAGATGTTTAATATGATTCCATGATTTCTGTGCATTCTTCTCAGAAACCACTGCCAGTAGATGTTTAATATGATTCCATGATTTCTGTGCATTCTTCTCAGAAACCACTGCCAGTAGATGTTTAATATGATTCCATGATTTCTGTGCATTCTTCTCAGAAACCACTGCCAGTAGGTGTTTTCAGCTACTAAACAAACTTCCTCTTAAAGTCTATGCTGTGTGACGTTGGTAGTCACATCTATCCACAACCTTCTGTCTCGTGGATTTTCAATTAGCTCTGACACAGATGATCCTACATGCCATGATGTCAAAATGTTCAGCATCTGTTCTCTTGCTCTACCTCTACCTCTCCTCCCCTACAACTTTCTTACTGTCATGACGTAGTCCAGTTTACTCCCTCTCATCATATGACCAAAGAATGTCGATTGTCTCTTTCTGTTGTGGGCAATCAGTTCTCTTTGTGCGTCAGTTTCTTCCAAGACGTCTTCATTACACATTTTAATCTGTCCAGGGTATTCTCATCATTTGTCTTATAAGACTATATCTCCCCAGCTTCCAAATAAGCTTCCACTAATTTACCAATTGTCCATGATTCACTGCCATATATCAAAATAAGATTTATATAGCTTTCAATTTTTCTGTTTCACCTCTCAGTTGACAAAGAAAGATTGCATTGAACAAACTAGTCCCCGCAAAATCCAAAAGCAGGTACAAGCAGAACACTTTCAGAACACTCTTTTGATTATCAACAAGACATAAAAACTCACCTTTATCCCCGCCACCATATTTCTGTTGGGAACGTATGTCCCGTTACCTAGAGATTCATTCCTGTGTTTCTCAGAGGGCCAGTCAAACTCCAGGGATGTCCACTCGTAAACAAGCTGAGCATCACCAAATTCCTGGCCCTGGATGTCAGTTGCCAGCAAGGATAAGAAGATCAGTCCTGCAAATGCCAAGCCGCCCATGTCTGATACTGTTCCCATGGTGCTTGTGTCTTATTTCTGATAAAGGAGAAAAAAAAAATCATAAACCGTTCAATCATTTGCTGTCTGCAACTGTTGACGCTTGTTGCAAATTTTGACAAAAAATTGTTTAAAGCAGCAATTTCAGTCAACTCACTTGGAGAAAATGCCTTCTGACGCTCTCATACAAGGCATATACCAAAAGAGGAGAGGGAGAGCAAGAGGTAGACCATGAACAATATGAGAAGATAACATCAAAGAAACTCTACAGCACCACGATGTGTCTATGGTTGAAGCAGCCAGAAGAACACGAAGCAGGACATTATATCTCCCTCGACACCCAAAGCGGTAAAAGAGGACGTAAAGAAAAAGAAGAATATCAATCAGCAGATTGAGAAAAAGTTGCAAGAACACAAATTGATTAACTGGTTTGTCCCCTCTGAGCTGCTATGTAAAAGTTTACCATACCAACATCATCATTATCATGTAGCAGGTCCTTTGCAGAACGTCGCTCTCATCACAGTCTGCCTGAAAGAAACTCGGTCTCTCGCCAGTTCTCCCGCCTCATGAACTTTCACACTCAAGAAGTCACTTATATCCTGTGCCCATCTTCGTGTCGGTCGGCCCCTGCCCCTCCTTCCTGGTGTCATGCCCTCTGCTATATTTTTTTTCCAATCCGTCGTGGCGCTTGTTGTGACCAAAATATTTCAGCTTTCGAGAAAGGATGCTGTTTATTAGCCAATCTTCCTTGATGTTCAGATCTTTTAAGATGTCAATATTTCTCATCTTCTTTGTCCAAGATATTCTGAGAATCTTTCTATAGCATTTCAGTTCAAAAGCCCCTATTCTCTTTCTTAAGGAATGAAAGATAGTCCACGATTCACATCCGTATGTAGCCATACCAAGATAAGATTACAAAATCTCAGTCTGGATTGCAGAGTAACAAGGTAGATCTCACATACCCAGTTCAACCTCCAAACAAGTTATATTTGGGCACTTGTAATGTCTATACCAGCCAGGCTTAACATCCCCAAAGCCCCCTGTGAGGGTTCCAGGGCCCTATTATAGGGAAAACAAGAATAGACCCACTCCCTACCCAAAAGCATGTCGTAAGAGTCGACTAATTGGAAGCTTCCTTTGAAGTCGGAGTGCATCTGCCTCAGAGGCAAGGAACCAACAGTCTGCACACAAATTCGTCAGATCTGTCAAACAGATGCACACGCAACACTCAGGTTCTGGAACAGGATAGCAGTCCAGAAGTGGACGAACAACCAGAACTTTCCACCAGAGTTTTATAGCTGGTGAACGTAAAGAAGAAGAAGATCCCCAAAGCTTGATGGTACTAACTTTAGGCAAGATCAACCCTGAAGACTATAGTGGGAGGAAGGGGGAAAGGGGATGGGGGGGGGGGGGGGGGTCGTTCACACGACCACAGGATCGGTAAGTAAATGAGCTACTAGTTTCAAATATTCAGGTTAATGCTGAATTTAATTCTTTTTTTTTTTTAATTTATTCGCAAAATATATTTTTAAGGTTTGAAATTCAAGTAGAGTAATTCTAAAATTTATAAACTTCTTCTTCTTCGGCGTTCCAAGCCCTTGAGGTTCATTGCTGCAGATATCACCCGCCTCCATTATTCTCTTTGGTTGGCTTTCTTTTTCCAGTTGGTGACACCAAGTGTTTGCAGGTCTGTCTGGACATTATCTCTCCATCGTCTTCTTGGTCTGCCTCGTGGTCTACGACAATTAATCTCCCTTGTGTATACAGTTTGCACTTCTTCGTCATCTGACACTTCATCTGACATTCTCTCAATATGCTCCAACCATTTCAGTCTATTAGCTCTCATGATGCCAGTGATCAATGGTGATTTAAACATATTATGAATTTTGTTGTTGCTTCTCACTCTCCATTCCCTGCTGTTTTTATCTTTGATGGGTCAAAGATTCGTCATAAGACTGTTTTTTAAAACATGTAAAAAGGTTTCATTTCTTTAAGTGCTCCAAGTTTCAGAGCCATATAAAACGCCTGGTCTTATCAACGTTTTATATATTTTGATCTTGGTGTTGCAAGACAGACACTTTTGACTTTATCAGATGTTGAAGGGCATAGTATACTTTTTTCCAGATTGTATTCTAGATTGTATTTCTTCTCTCAGCATGTTGGAGCAGTTGAAGTTTGCACCTAAGTACGTATATATTTTCGTTCATTTGATTTTCATTTTATCAACTTGTATGTGGCTGCCTAAGAAGAGCTGCAGGAGTTTCAAGGAAAGACAGAATATAAAAATCACGAAATCAGACGAATGCTAGGAATAAAGCCAGTCTTATAGGTCATCAAAGAACAACACATGAAGTAGTTTGGACACCTAACAAGTATGTCCCGGTACTATCTGCCACAGCGAGCCACACTAAAACGTTACAACGGGTATAGAGAGAGTGGAAGACCTCGGAAAATATGAAGTGATGGCATTAAGATCAGCCTTACAGAAATGAACATCAGTCTTAATAGTGCTCTTGACAGAGCTCATCAACGAACATTACATCTCCCCCCGACACTTCGCTCAGGTACACGGTGGAAGAGAAGAAGAAGAAGAATGTGGCTGGAGTTTATATCCTTTCGCTATCTAGTTATTATCACTTATTCTGTCTTATCTTGATTGATAACTAGTCCCATTTTCTGAGCTGATTCTTTTAAGAAAGTCAGTGTTGTTACAGTCTCTAGTTTATTTTCTCCAACGATATCATCAATGCCATCTGCGTAACCAAGTATTCTTGTACACTCTTGTTTCAATGTCCTTATAATTTTCTCAATAGCCAGGTTGAAAAGAAGTGGAGATAGAACCTCACCTAGCTTTAAACCAGATGTTATTTGAAAAGGGTCTGACTTTCTGCCTTTGGCTATCCTCCGAATAACGGTCCTAAATTATCGAGGCGGAAAATATATCCTAACAGGGTCTCAATCACGTGTCAATTGTGCACTTCCGGCAACTTCCACCACCGCCGAGAGTATCCTTAACGCCGCTCACGCGACGTGGATTGGGGCTAAACTAGATGGCTGAGACTCACGAGCAGCAACTACCGAATCTCCTTCCTTTTTTTTTTTTTTTGCTTTTTTTGCTCGTGAGTCCTAGCCATCTAGTTTAGCCCCAATCCACACCGCGTGATCGTAAGTCTCCAGAAGTTCGCAATTTGGTGGTGGCGTTGTAGTCCACGGAAGTGAGCAATTAACACGTGACTGAGGCTCTGTTAGGGTATAAAATTTTGAGTCAAAAATCTACCCAAAGTATTTCAGGATCCTCGCCGGGGCTACAGAGCCTGTGCACTGTGCTGAGCTTCTTCGGACTCAGACTTGACTTAGCAAACAAACCTCTAAACCTTCTGCTATTCAACATAATAAAACACATCTACTGGAAATAAACACCAAATGAGACATATGCAAATAAAAAGGACGACGGAGGGGGCTGAGGTCGCCTCCGCTTTATCACTTCCCCGAAAATGTCTAAATATAACTACGATTCCTCTGTGCAATGTATAGCATCTTCGACCGAGTCTCGCATTGGCACGCCGGTAGACGACTTCGTCGCATGTCGGAACAATATTTTGGTTTGTCTCCTTTGAGCGCATTAACACTGCAGGAGTCTTTTTTCTGTGCTCTTGGTGGCGTGCGATGCTAAGTTACTATATATGAGTAGTTATACATGTACCCATTTTTACTAATCCCTTCGCCACCCTTCACCAGTCTTCGCCAGTCCCCTCGCCACCCTTCGCCAGTCTTCGCCACTCCCCGCCTCGCCACCCTTCGCCACTCTCCGCCAGTCTCTGGTCTCCCTAGCACAGGTGTTAATCATGAAGTTCACAGGGTCAATTATTTGGGTGATATATTTATTTTTCAAGCTGGCTAATTTTTTTTTCCTAGCTGTCAGAGGCGTATCCTTCGGAATTAAAAAATCTTGTTGGTTTTGTTGAAAAGATTGTTTATACATTGCTCTCTGTATTCCTGCTGTAAGGTTAGACATCACTTCTTTTTCTTCTTCTTCTTCTTTTTCTTCTTATTCTTCTTATTCTTCTGCTAGTGCTGTTGTCACGGATAAGTTGTCTTCGGATTCCTGGTTCTTTGCGATATGTTGAATTAGGAATCGACATTACAGCTCTCAGGACACCGATGGTACCAGTAGGTCTCTTGTAGTTCTTTCTGTCTACCCCTGTATCTCACCTGTAGTAATTACCCGCCCACTGTTACCAAACAACATTGATTAAAAAAAACGAAAAGCAGAAGACGTATAACAGTTTATATAATTGTTTATTGTTTTAGTCTTTTCAAATCTTTTGTTTACTCAAGTTAGGACAGACAACTCTCTCCCTCCCTCCCTCTCTCTCTCTCTCTCTCTCTCTCTCTCTCTCTCTCTCTCTCTCTCTCTATCTCTATCTCTATCTCTATCTCTATCTCTCTCTCCACATCCACACGCCCGCCCGCCCGCCCGCCCGCCCGCCCGCCCGCCCGCCCAAAGCCCGTACGTACGTACGTACGTACGTACATACATACATACATACATACATACATACATACATACATACATACATACATACATACATACATACATACATACATACATACATACATACATACAGACAGACAGACAGACAGACAGACAGACAGACAGACAGACAGACAGACAGACAGACAGACAGACAGACAGACAGACAGACAGACAGACAGACAGACAGACAGACAGACAGACAGACAGACAGACAGACAGACAGACAGACAGACAGACAGACAGACAGACAGACAGACAGACAGACAGACAGATTTCTGTGGGCGAAGGAATTGATTAAAACAGAATTGCAGTAAGCAAAAGGCTAGGCGGGGTATATCCAGACCGCAAATTGAATGCTTTGGTTCGTGTATACAACACACGACGCATAACACGAGTTCGCCATCCTATACTCTCTATTAACACACGCACGAAAAATGCTATACACCTTTGCTTTAGTGGCCTCAGTCTTCTCCAGTAGCCTGGT